TCAATATACTTTTTTATTTTGTACCAGCGTTGTCATTTGAAAGTTCATATATATTTTTAAAAAGCACTTTCATCAGTGAAATTAGCAAGCAACGAATCGCAAGAAGTGCTTTAGTGGATTCTGTTGTCATTTAGCATCAAATGATCAACAAAGTGCAGTGGAAGATGTTGAGACAATATTCAGTTGAGAGTTGATGACAATGTAAGGAAGACGCATGATTTCTTTTTTATACTGTCTGCCAGTCGCAGAATGCGCGTTTTTTCTTGAAGGAAATCTCTTGTACTTTTTATGACCTGATTATCGGGTGATAGCACGAATGAAGTTTCTGTATTTTTGTGACTGAAGATTTGAGGAAGAGGCAACTACTCAGTTCTACAGATCCAATCCCGTGAAATAAGGTCTTTTTGAGATACATACAGCTTCTTATTCCTCTTCTTCCTCCTCTTCCTCATCTTCCTCCTCCTCCTCTTCCTCCTCTTCTTCCTCCTCCTCCACTTCTTCTCGTCTTGCAGGAGGAGGTGGAGATGCGGCCTTGGGTTCTTCTACTCCAAACATAGGTGGTTCAATATCCAGGAGATCATCCTCATCATATGTTCTTGCTTCAATGACCTCTTTCACTTTAGGGGCAAGAGGGTCCCATTTGGGGAGTTCTTTGGGTCCTCTCTCCTTGAATGTATGCATTCGGTCTTGCCAGTACTTCTCCATGGCTTGCTTTAACTGTTCTTCCAATCCACCATTAAACAAAGTTTTCATATCACCAAAAGTTCGTCGATCCATCCTCCGCTCAAATTTACTCGCTACCACGATCTTGGGCGGGTATTTTCCCTCAGCCTCCGCAGGGTCAATACCCTTCTTGAGAGCCTTTTGCCTATTCATCTGCTTCTGCCTCTCAGTCAACTCTCTCAGATCGTAGTCTTGTCTCTTCATTCTTTCTTCCAAGTCATATTTCTCACTTTCCAGTGTAACGATTTTTTTCCACAAGTCTGCAGCAACGTTCCTCAGCTTATCAGCACTAAGTCCTTCGATATTTAGGTCCTTTACTCTGTATGTCAAGGCAATAGCTTTGTCTTCAGCAAGTTGTTCCTTGGACTTTCCAAGCTCACTACGTGCCTGTTCCACATTGCTGAGCTTGTCAAATCCACCTGGGTGGTGGGATTGAGGGGGTGGTGCAGCACCTCCTTTCTTCTGGATGACAAAGTTGGGTTTTATTCCCTCCTTTTGTTTCTTTTGTTCCTCTAACATCGCTTGGCGTTTTTTTTCAGCCTCTTCTAAGCGTTTCCTTTTGGCTTCAGCATCTTTTTGCTTCTTTTCCTCTAATTCTTTCTGCCTTTGCTCCTCTTGCCTCCTCTTTACATCCATCATACGCTTTTCTTGCTCAGCTCTTGTCACCTTTCTCTTTGACTGACGATCTTTCAGTTTCCTCAGTTCTTCTTCTTCCTTGGCCCTCTGTTTCCTCCACTGCGAGATGTACTCTTGCCACATGGCCTCATCCTCTTCCTTCTTCTTCCTCAACTTCTCCTCCATGATCATTTCAGCTTCAGTCATTTTCGGTTGTGATTCTTCTCTAGTTGCTTTTTGTCCACTTGAACTCTTTTTCCTTCCGGAATCTTCGTCCTCCTCTTCCTCGGATTCACTGTATTCTCTATCGTCGTCTGCCATATGGATAGATTTATTCTATTTACACGAAATATCCGCGGGTCCTGCCGCTTGGTAACGCTGAGTAGTGGATTGTGG